TTTTTTTTTTTTTTTTTTGGTATTGGTCTTAATTCTTCTTTGCTTCCTTTTTAGCTCCTTGTGGATATAATGTCACATCTCAGAATGGTACCATTTATTCCCCTGGATTTCCTGATGAATATCCAATTCTGAAGGACTGCATTTGGCTCATCACTGTGCCTCAGGGCCATGGAGTTTACATCAACTTCACCTTGCTGCAGACTGAAGCTGTTAATGATTACATTGCTGTTTGGTATGTGAATCTTTCAAGTAAAGACAATCTGTGATTGTGATAAGCTGTTCTGACTTATCACTTATATACCACTTTTAGGTTGGGTTGTATATTTAGAAATGAAGAGATAAGGTATATATTGGAAAATAAATTTACCAAGTCCAGAGATATAGAGAATAAATTTCATGTAATATGTTTAAGTTTTGCTACATGTGGATATGTTCTTAAGGACCTCTGGTGGCACAATATTTAAGAGCTCAACTACTAACCAAAAGGTTGGTGATTCAAACCCACCTAGCGGCTCTGCAGGAGAAAGACCTGGCTATCTGCTTCTGTAAAGATTACAGCCTAGAAAATCCTATGGGTCAGTTTTGTTCTTTCACATGGGGTCAGCATGAGTTGGAATTGATTCAGTGGCACCCAACGACAGCAGCAGCAGATCTATTCATGATTGTTTTTAATATATGAGAATATCCCAAGATTATTTTATTCTAAATTTTTAAGTGTGATTTTTTTTTCCCGTAAAGGAAAGTTGGTAGGAACATTTTCCCTTACAAGTAGATGATGTTTCTAGAAATATTAAAGGAATGACTGCATATAACCTTTCCTCCATCCTGTATAAACTTTACAGAACTACTCTTCCCTATGATATGTAGGAAGTGTTATTGAGCTAGAGACCAGAAGAGGGATATTTAGCTCTGATTCTCTTCCTAATTAGTAATGTGGCCTTGGATAAGTAACTTAAACTCTGCTTGACTAAATGTGCCTATCTATGGGAAATACTATCCCTACCCTGCTTTTGGAGGTGAGAGTTTAGGGGGAGGATGGGGAATGACGATGTTCCTGTGATACTGCTTTGATGGAAGAGGTACTGCCTACCTCTGGGCACTAGGAGGGGAACATGACCCAGATTTGAAGAGTCAGGATGGGCTTTTTAGTTTTCACCAGGAAAGCTGAAGGAGGTGGGAATTGTTCTGCTTACTGGAAAGGCTGTAAGGCAAGAGGACATTGTGACTTCAAAGAACTGGAAGACATGAGGTGTGGTGTGGCTGAATGGTTGTTAGAGTCCTAGAGAGAGAGAGAAGAGGTGACCTGGCATGGGTAGACAGGGACAGATAATACAGGGCGATATAAATCAAGTGGAGGATACTGGGCTTTGTCCTAAGAACAATGACAAACTCCGTAGAGTTTAAGCCAAAAGGGTTATAAGTTCAGGTTTGGGCTGCAGAATAACCAATCTCATTTTGTGAAGACTCTTCTTACCTGAGGGAAGAAGGAAGGCTGGCTTTAGAGGTTGCAGAAGTAAATCGTGGAGGGAGATGATAGTTACCTGAATTAGTAGCTGTGAGAATGAGGAGAAAGAGAGAAATTGAAATGTTAAGGGAACTATGTGAAACTGCCGATTCAAAAAACAAAACAAAACATCGACAATATAATATCAGTAATTTACACAGAATGACCTATCTTTTAGAAAGTAGAATCCAAAGGTCTTGACAATTAGTAGCATGTGGAGTGACTATTGTCAGAACACTCTTGAATGAAAAAGACTGAAAAACTTAGTCAACTTTATGAATATTAAACATCTTGATACTTCTAAACCCAGTATCCAGAGGATGGTTGTATTTTATTCAGTTTTTTTAAAGCATTTTAATTCAGTATCAAAATTCCATAAATCTCTCTTATAATTAAATAGATGCCATTGAATTTAGACTTTGAAATGTGGAAATTTAAAAGGAAGCTGATAAATATTCTTGTAGTCACTAAAATAAATGGGACCATGTTTCTAAAATTCCTCTTAATAGGTCAGTTTGGAAGTAAGGGGTGAATCTGCTCTACTTTTCTAAGTTTCAAATGCCTGGAGCACAGGGGTCAGACAATCATGCTTTTACCAAGATACGGTCCCACTGTTAGAAGAAAATGATTGCCAATTTAGGCTGTGATTTAACAGCTTTCCACTCAGACTACTCTTCCTCTCTTTCCCAGGGATGGTCCCGACCAGAACTCACCTCAGCTAGGAGTTTTCAGTGGAAACACAGCCCTAGAAACAGCGTATAGTTCAACCAATCAAGTCCTGCTCAAGTTTCACAGTGACTTTTCAAATGGAGGTTTCTTCGTCCTCAATTTTCATGGTCAGTTTGTATTCAGCCCATTGATTAAGACAGGGAACTCTATTTGATTCTTCCTGTAGTGTTGACAGGAGCCCTGGTGGTGCAGTGGTTAAGAGCTCAGCTGCTAACAAAAGCTCAGTGGTTCAAATCCATTAGCCCCTCTTTGGATACCCTACGGGGCAGGTTTACTCTGTCCCATAGGGTTGCTGTGAGTTGGAACCGATTCAACAGCAATGGGGTTTGGTTTTCTGGGTTTGGTAGTGTTGACATATGCCTTGTTTCCATCTAAAGTTCCTTGACTCTACCCTCAAGAGCCTGATAGGATTTTCTTGTTACTGATGCAAGAGTTTCCTGTGAACTTTTCTGTTTAATGATATTTTTGTTTTTTCGAATCTTACCTCATCATGTAGTATTTGATAGTAAACTTGGACTTATTCTAAGATAATATACTCTAATGAAACTCTCATACGAGGAGACCATTGAAATACATTTGAAACCTTTCATAGATGCCCCCACACGTCTCCAGATGAAGAGCTATACCAAATAATGGATAAGTACAGGTGCAGTGAAAGCAAAGCTCTAATGATTTTGAGAGTAAACTCTAAACAAGATGGGGATATCTAGCTATCTAGCTGTCTGTCTATCCATCCGTCACTAATTTCTCTTTTGACCATTTGTGTCTCAGGACAAGTGACAAGACGAGATGTTATCAAATTTAAATGTAACAAGGAGCCAGGCCATGGCTGAACTGTTTCAATCTCAGAATTCCAAACATATTTAAAATGTTTTTATTTAAATATTATAATTTTTGAAATATTGTATACTTTTTTTTTACTTGGACTTTAGATTTCCCTCGGCATTAAATAAGCTTATGAGAATTTGCCTTCTTAGATACTTATACAGTGACTGTACAGTACTGTTTTTTTGAAGTTTTTAGTGAGAATTTTATAAAACAAAAATAGACATTTCAGCATATCTAAGCATTATAACTTCAAGAAGAATGTTTTTGGTAATGTTTTGTAAAACCAGAAAGTTTAATTGTAGTTTTTTTTGTTTTTTTTTTTAATATGAACCATTTAGCATTTCAGCTGAAGAAGTGTCAGCCTCCTCCAGCAGTTCCACGGGCAGACATACATACTGAGGATGAGGATTTTGAAATAGGTAACGTTTTCTTCATTGCAATACCGTTAACTCAACCTGACTTTTTTACATCCACCTTCAATTGCGATAGTTGCTCAGACTAGTAACTGAGTAATTTCTCAGAAAAAAAAAAGCATCCTTAAAGCATTGCTAGACACTTATATACATAAATAGTGGTCATGTAGCAACATGTTTTTCTTTGTCTCCATGATTTTTTTTTCCATTTGAATTTTGCATCTGTCATTCTGAAAGCATTTTTTTTTTCCTATAGCATTTACTAGTTACTATTGATCTTTTGTAAGGAGCCCTGGTGGTGCAGTGGTTAATCATTTGGCTGCCAACCGAAAGTTGGTGGTTCAAACCCACCAGCTGCTCTGTTGGAGACAGATGTGGCAGTCTGCTTCTGTAAAGATTTACAGCCTTGGAAACCCCATGGGGCAGTACTACTCTGTCCTATGGGATCGCTATGAGTCGGAATCCACTTGTCAGCAGTGGATTTGTTTTTTTTGCGGGGGGAGGTATTTATCTTTTGAATAAAATTTTCGGAGATAGACTTGAGAGGTATTTGTGTTCAGTTAGAGAAACATGTTCATGCACTTGGGGAAGAACCTAACCTTTCATGGCTAAAATAATGATTAGTATAACAGTCACCTTTCATTGATACTGGAATACAATTGTTAGAATATATTTAATGATACTATTATTTAAAAATTCTCCTTTACCATTTTATATTAATGATCTAATTCATTAAATCATCATCAGGTCATATTAAGAAAGCATTGACAGCATATGTTTGCAGTATAATTATAGTGACCCAGAATTTCTCAGTCCCAATTAAAAATACTTTGTCCTGTTGTCACACCACGTGTCAGATCACTGGTCAAACCATATGACCCAATTTCTGCTCTACCTGTAATGTCCGAGTTAGCTGAAACGTTGTGCTCATTAGGCCAAGGTCGTGGATTAGCTCTCCCTGTGGATACTTAAAACCATTCCATTCCACCATCTTAACTATCAAGCATCTATTTCACCTTTATTTTTTTTTATTTTGATAATGATGGGAGAATTGAAATGAACGTAGGCAAAGAAGAAAACAATGCTGCGTACTTTCTGTACTAATAGTGCTTAAGTTTAAGGTAGCATTTTTACAAATGAAGAACTAAAAATGATGCTATTTTGTTAAACAGACTAAAACTGAATACAGACATCGTTTCAGAAATGGTTTACACATTGACTTGATTATTTAATAGTCATGTATAGCTGATAGATTCACACACTCCATATGAGTTTTATGGAAATTCTGGAAACAAAAAGTCCAAGAATCCCATGTTGCCTCTTTTAGGAGATTTTGTGAAGTACCAGTGCCATCCTGGGTATACCTTGTCAGGGACCGACACGCTGACCTGCAAGCTAAGCTCCCAGTTGCAGTTTGAAGGTTCTCTCCCAACATGTGAAGGTATGTACAGTTTGATACTGAAAATATCCTTTTTCAATACGGACAATTTTATTGTCTGTGTTGGTCCTAATTTTTTCGTCTGCACTTTTCTGAAGTTAATCTGTGTCTATGTTATGATCTCATTGCAATTAAAATACTGTACAAACAGATTTACCTAATTACTCTTCTTTTTTAGCTAACTCCAGAAGATAAATCAAAACCACATGAAATAAGAAGTTGTACTTTTTTTCTCCACCAATTTATTAGGAAAAATTTCAAGCATATGACACAGTTGAAAGAATTTTACAATGAACACCTGACCATCAGCCACCTGGGTCTACCATGAATGCCCATTATATTTCCTTCATCACAGGTCTACCATCTATTCCTCTTTCTCTCTACCCATTAAGCCATTTTATATTGCCATTCCAAGATTGACCTAGTTTTTTAATTAATTCATGACAAACCAAGAACAGCATAAATCAGCACAAAACTAAATGATCTCAGTTCTCACGCACATTCATTGAGTAGCCTCAGTTCCCATGCACCTTTGTAGGGAGTGTTCTATGGAGACAAGACACCCTACTTGTGCCACTTTCCTATTTCCTGCTGAACTCATAATTACTGCCTGGAGTAACCTAGTTCTTTTCTGTTTCAATTCAAGAGTAAATGTATTTAAAACTTGAATGGAGAGTTAGATATGTTCGAACATCTCATTAAGAAGGAAATAGGTGTTCAGATATTTTTTTACCAGATAATTAAGCACTTAATTATAATCTTTCTTTAAGCACTTCAAAAATTTTTTGATTGAATTGATTAGACTCAAGTGGGGGCCAATCCCCCAGTAGATTCCTGATGAAACTTTACATTAATTTTTCATCACGATTCTTCAAATTCCATAACCACATTTTTAGAAGTTCTGCTTTGAAAATTGTAACCACTTCTGGGGAGGCGATGAGAGTAGATTATTCTCTCTAAATTAGCATTGTGCTGAGATAAATATCTACTTGTTAGCTCCTTAGTTTAATTGAGGAAGAAAAAAACTTAGGGATATTACAAAAGCGACATTTCTGATATTAAGGAAAAAGAAGTATTTTAAAGAGCAAAGAGACGCGATAACAAAGGTTTGGAAACTGTGGGAGTACATGGAGTGTCTGGGAAATGGGAAGCAGCTCCACCTCCCTTCCTCTTAGGGTGTGGTTAGGGGAAGGTGGGATTAACTGGGGCTGAAAGGTAGGGCCAGATTTTGAAAGGTCTTATGTCAGTTGGGCTTCATCCTATATACAACGGGTATCTATCAATGGTTTTCAGAAGTATAAGAGGATATTCATTTTGTAAAAAATTACAAGCATAAATTTTCAATGAGCACTAAAGAGAATCAGTGACCTTTTGATAATGACCATTTCTCTGGAAAGCACCAGAGGGAGGCCACATAAAAATGGCAGACAAGTGACAGCTTTCCTTTGCACATGTATGATAACGACCATGGAGTTTTAAGGGCTGCAAGTGACAGCTTTTCCCCATTGCTTAGCGGGTTCCCAGCTTCACAGTTCTCTCCCAGGCACAGGTGCCTTTAAGACTTAATCTTAATTATTTATAAATTCTGATATTGGACTGTATGAGTCTTGCTGAAGGCTGACAAGGCCTGTTAGATAATATGCTTTGGGTTTTAAGCCTCACGTTTATTCATTTATTTTCTTTTAAAATAAGCGAAAGGAATAGTATTGTGCCGAGGTGCAATGACTCAAAGCACAAAATTAATGTTTTATGGTTGCAGGGTTTTTCGGATGTGTTTTTGACAGGAACCTTAAGCAGCTGCTTTCCTGTGCTGGGAGGTTTCCGATAGTCCGTCGAGGAGATGCAGTGGATTTTTTCATGTGTGATTGCTGCTAGAAAAATGAACGGCTCAGCTACAGGAAAGCCTGCAGTGTTTGAAACCTTCCCACTGCAAGTGGGTGTTGCTCCTAGCAACAGTTTATAGGAGTGAGCATGAAGAAATAGGCGCCTATGAAAGAATCAAGAAAAACAAAATGAATCAAAAACACCTTAGGTCATGGGGAAGCCTATTCAAATTCATTAAAAAAAAGTATGTCTGAAGCAATACCGTTAAGTGTTGTAAGAAAAACGATACAAATAACCTCTCTTATATTTTCATTTTGTTTTCTTTTCTTAAAAAAAAAAAAAGCAGCTTAAAAATAGAAGGAATAAGAATAGCTATGCTTAAGATTCTGCTTATGATTTATAATCACTGCAGGGCATTCAAACCTGGAATGCGCTAATAGTTCTTCAGGTAGATTTTTGCAAATGAGTAGAATGTTTACTGTTTCCAGATGGCTCGAAGTTCCGGTGCTATCTCACAACTATACTGCAAAGACAAAATGAGGTCTTCAAGTATATACAGATGCGGATAGCTTTGCTAAGTATTTTCTCAAGTGTAATATCACAAAAAGAAACGTACTGTGATGCCATCATTATGTCAGAAAAAAGGCAGGCAAGTGGGTAAATCATGCCCAAATCTTGATAATGCCTTCTGTCCATATAGTGCTTTAGATGTAAGAAACAAATTTACATATATTTGATCTTAATTATAACCCTGAAGGGTAGATATTATGCCTTCAATTAACATCAGAGCCAAGAAAAGTTCTAGTTCTTATTCCAAAGTCAATGTAGGTCTGTGGAGTTTCTAAAACACCAGGCCCTGGCCCTACACAAGATATATACAGATACCAGTATTGACTTTTTAAATTTTTCTTTTTGCTTTTAGTAACAACGTGTTCACTTTTGAATTGGCACAATATATTTTAAAAACTGATTTTACCACCATCATAGATGAAAATGATACTGGTAACTAAGTTGTTTCTGTCTTTATGTTTTGGTTGGGATTATCTTTCTATATACTGTATATCCTTTTAAATTCTAGCGTGCTGTTAAAATGTTAGTTATTATTGTTCAGTGTTCCTCTCCTGCTGTGTTTGGCATCCTGTATAAACTTAATTACAGCACAATAAGGTTTTTTTTTTTTTTTTTTTCTTTTCATTGGCTTGTATATACAGGAATAGGAACCATCTTATTGAGGTTGGGTTCATTTTGTAAAGGAAAACTTTTACCTGCACTTTTCTCTCTAGCGCAATGCCCAGCAAATGAAGTCCGCACAGAATCATCTGGAGTGATCCTCAGTCCAGGATACCCAGGCAACTATTTTAACTCCCAGACGTGCTCTTGGAGTATTAAAGTGGAACCAAACTATAACATTACCATCTTTGTGGATACATTTCAAAGTGAAAAGCAGTTTGATGCACTGGAAGTATTTGACGGCAAGTTTCTTTAATCTTTGTTTACATACCAGTGATCTATATATAATGTAACAAAATCGCAATGATAATGTTTGTGGTGGCACAGAGACTTGAATATCTGTTCACATGAAACAAACAGTGAATTAATCTGTGAACTGTCATTCTAAGAGATCGAATCATCTGTAAATCATTATCACTATTGTCGTTATCTCAACTTTTTAAACAATTAGAATGTTTAATGATACACTCTGAAAATGTATTGAGTTTGCTTCAGCTATTTTCTAGTTGTTTAATGTGGGAGCTTAGAATAGATGATTTCAAACATCTATTCCGTTTCTAAGTTTTATATTGATTCAAAAGGTACTTTGGAAATTTAAGAGGCTCAGAGGTATTTTAATCAAATTCAATGATTGTTTTACTAGACACATGTAAAAATAATAATTCACAGAGATTTCTGCATGATATAATGCTAGAGGAATCTTTAATGTGCAATTTGAAAAAAAAGTAATACAGTTAAATGAATAGATGTTAATCCTGTTTTTAACACGTTTTATAATTTTCTTATACAATTCTAATGAACATTTTAGAATAGCCTATGTTTAAAAGTAATATGTGGTTAAATTGTCAATTTGAAATTGTTCTTTGTATAGAAGCATCATCACAGTCCAGAAAATTAGCCCAAAATATAATTACTGTAATTATTATTATAAATAATAACACAGTTTTCACGTTTTAACTGATTTGTCATTGAGTTCAGATAAATAACAATCAATTTGAGTGAAAAAATTTATGTAATTGATTGTGTGTGTGTTTGTAGGTGTTTTACTGACTTGATGAATCATAGTAATCAAATTAGATAGACATCACAGGAATCAGTGTTTGTATTTCCTAAGACAAACTACTAAACTGGAAATTAAACTATTTATATACTTAGAAATAATGGACAGAAAAAAAATTATTTTTACTTTCAGACTTTTTTTTTTAAATGTACATTAGACAGACACGGCTTATTGGAGACTTTCACCTAATCTTTAGGATGTGTAAAAGTGTTTCATTAGCTAAGTATAAAAACTGGACTTTCAGTGTCAATAAGGAGGTCAGGTAGCTTCTACCCTGAAGCCCATTAAAAAAAAACCCATGGCTGTCGAATCAATTCCAACTCATAGTGACCCTCTGGGACGGAGTAGAACTTGCCCCATAGGCTTTCCAAGCCTGTAAATCTTTACGGAAGTGAACTGCCACATCTCTCTGACACGGAGCAGCTGGTGAATTCAATCTGCTGACCATTTACTTAGCAGCCAAGCACTTAACCACTGGGCCATCAGGGGTCCCTGAGGCCCATTAAGCATCATAACAAAAATTAAAAAGGAAAGCAACCAGTCTTAATGGGGCACATATATATATTCCTATGTGTGCTATATATAATTGTACATATTTAAGTAATTATTTTAAAATGATGCATGATCCTTTGTTCCACATTAGTTTGTGCTGCTCAGGGACTCTGAAATGTAAGCAAAATCATTATCAATAAGTTATGCACTAATTATATGCAATCTGATCTCCTAAAAATGTGGACAGACCACCACCATTAAAAACAGAAGGGGAGGTAGAGAATAGAGACAATCTCATAAGAGTTGCTGTCAAAATTATTAGGAATCTGTGGCTAGGTTTGTTCTGGCCTCAAAGATATTTCTATACAATGAAAGGTCGGAGTTTTAAATGAGTACTTTTTTTAAGCGATGGCGTTTTTGTTGTAGTAACTGTCACGTTCATTACATCTCTTTTTTTGTAAGGCAGAGGCTCTTCTGTAGCTCATGAGTTGACTGAAAACATGTTGAATCTATTGATTTTAAACTTTGTTTGCCCAGGAGTGTATTACTCTCTATGAGTCAACTAGGGAATATCCTGCAGTTTTTTTTTTCCAATAGAATTTTGAACATTATGGAACTCAAGATTATTTAGAAAAATGTCAAAGATTGTTGTTCTGTAGTAAACTTTTGAATATTTTCCATCTTGGTAATAACTGCTGCTTTCCATTATGGCCTGGCTGTGTTTCTATCCATGCCTTGTTGGAAACGTATTTTTAAAGATACTCCTTTCAGAAAGAATGTTACATTACAGACAAACAGATAAGATGGAAAGGGATGAGGTATTAGAAGGGGGTTTAAAAATCCTGAAACTTTTCTTTTCAGTTCTGTCATTAAAAACGACATCTTCAAATCTTATTAATTCAGATTAATTTCTCAGTGGCATTTTGTTGTAGAATATGCATTATCTCTTTAAAATAGAACAACAAGCGGATGAGCAGAGAATCATCTCTGCCTTCTTCAGTTATAAATGTACCGTCTCCTCGCAGGACATCGTCCAGGACACCTGTGACAAGAAATAACATTGCTTATTATCATCCTTCACTCCGAACAAACTGAACATTGCCTTGATCATAGTTAATATACTAGTGTTATTGGGAAAAATCATTAGAGCTACTCTGGTTGGTGGTTAAAGAATAAACGAAGTTGTGGGTTTTCAATAGCTTGGCATGAATAAAACTGCATGTATAATTATCAAAGATATGGTCACTTACCCTAATACAATTTTTATTAGGAATGACAAAGAGGGCTATATTATCCTATTCTAAATGTGTATCCTGGGAGTAAATATACACCTGAGGTTATTTTTGTGGATTATTGTTTTCTTTTTATTAGTGTTTATTTGTAGCTGAATCATTAGGAATTCTTTGTCCACTTCGGACATAAATAGCTGAGTATTGTCCATTTGGACTCCAATTTAATTAAAATCTGTAAGTATTATTTGTATTTCATAGGTGCTAATTCGTATGCATACTTTTATGTTTTTCTCTTTAATTTAGGTTCTTCTGGGCAAAGTCCTCTGTTAGTAGTCTTAAGCGGGAACCATACTGAACAATCAAATTTTACAAGCAAGAGTCATCAGTTATATCTCCGCTGGTCCACTGACCACGCAACCAGTAAAAAAGGATTCAAGATTCGTTATGCAGGTTAGTAAACGAAGTTTAGAGTAAATATAAGAATGTGTTTAATACAAGGATCTGCAATAAATAAAGATTTTAGGTAGAAATTTATAATATAAACCTAATTTCTGAAAATTAATAATTATAGTGAAAATGGGAAATTGAGTGATATACATAAACTGCGTTAGGAAAAATGAAGTATATGTTGACTGATAGTTTTAAATGCATTGTTAACATTATAAACCAATGAAGTGCATACTATGGAAACAAAGACATTTACCAAAAGATAATATAATCAAAATTAATTTTAAAATATTTTCCAATGTTAAGGGAACAGGAAGAGTTAATCATATTTTTACTAGTTTTATGCAGCAATAACCTCTTACTATAAATACTGAGTCATTTCATCAATCTATCTGTATGTCTGTCTGTCTTCGTATATCTACGCACGTATATAGAAATCGCTTCCATTAGAGTGAGTGAAGAAGAGTATTATCGTAATGATTGGATCTGTATTCATCCGATCCTTGTAAAGAAAAATCAATAACTAACAGGCTTTGAGACTTATTTGAATATATTTCCTAAGAGAAAAATAAGCACTTCAGGAGAAATCATGGTAAACATAATTTATCATGCTTTATCTGGGCAAATTATTTAGTAACCTAGTGATACAAGCGTGCCTTGAATTTTGGGACCTATGATTTTTTTTTTT